GGTATAAACTATAATCTTATTTTATTCTGAAATTAAGGACCATATTAAAAATATCTACACCTTTGTTTAAAAATCGCGCGTTTGACGAAAAAATAAATACACGAGATATCTTACTACACCCCCCTCCCCCTTGTGTTATTTTCGTGAATTTTATCAAACCCCTCCCCCCCCTTTCAAGCCTCGCGTGATTAATGGACAACCCCTAATAAATTAGAATTATATTCGATTTATTTTAACTACGTCTTTATTATTATTTATGCAGGCAATGAATAATGCTTCAGACCAACATTACAGAGCTGAAAGCTGAAAGGGTGTGTTTGTTTGGACCTGCGGTTGGGCCATTTATCGAGGAAAGCTTTACGCTACAAAATATCAGGGCGCCACCTATGAGTGGTCTTAAGAAACATATGGAACGGGAAAAACTATTCATCTTTGAGGGTTTCCGATTCGTGCAGTTTAAGATACCAAAAAAATATGTTTCAAAGAATTATTCTTCTTAAATAATCTAAAAAAAATGACCGAGATATGTCCAGTATATATCAATCTTTTAAGACTACCTCAGATCTCAGAATCAGTTTTGTGGTCACCTAATTTCGTCGAAGTACTTTGTTACTTACTTTACTTTCGGAAAAAGAACGTTTGCCAGGTCAGCTGGTATATTATAGAATATCATCTTGTATTTTGGCTCTACAGTCCGGTGGATACTAAATTTATCTTCACTATGTTTACTAAACTACGCGTAAATAGCGTTAACAAATTACGTATAAAATACCGTATTAACATAATCTATCTTTAGTAACACCTGTTGATAGCCAAGTAACAGCTCTATCAAGGCTCGGCGTATTTACGCTTTGAGGTTATTATAGGCTATTAATGAGCCATTACTCTACGTTTGACCCACATTCGCCATTGTTCTCTTGTTTTATAACTTTTTATATTTGCTTATACTTTGATCTTAAAATATGTTTGCGTGTTTTCGTAATGTATTAACAAGAAATTCCAAAGAGACCATTGGATATTTTTGTTCATGCGCATGATTCTGAATCATCGTTGAAAATGTGTAGTCATATATTGTCTGCAGTTTACGCGAGCGGTACACATATAAATAAAACACTTTAACAGTTCAAAACGCAATGTATATTAAAAAAATGTAAAACATTAGAGTTCAAGTCCAAGTTTTTTCAATTTTTAATCAATAAAGAATTATCTTATTAAATAATTAACTCTACGCGTGTCTTCTTTACTGCTGTGCCAAGTTCAATTAAGTGCCTCGAATATTTAGAAAAGGGACATTTCTTTTTAGAAATAATCACGTTGTCTTATGATGTAAGGTTTGTGGGAGTCAGTGGGTGCCAAGTTAACCTCGTATTTTGAAGTCAATATAACTTTTGCCTTCACTTACGCCCAACGTTGAGTACATCAACCAACCTGTGAAAATTTTTCATATACTATATTTAAAATTGGTTAAATTAAATGAAATATAAACTACGTGGAAAACACGTTATCCAATCAGTAAATTACTTTTGCATTTTGCAGTGAAAGCGTGCGAATCGAACGAGCTGAACATTGAATATTTTCAATGCCCTTTGGGATGCGAAAATTCAAAAGTGCACATTTTTTTCTTGTGCATTATTTCATTTAGTTGGCATCGTTATCTATTGAATTGTCTGTGTACAAACTTTAATTTTAATTATAAATTAAATTACGTGTAGTGTACAAAAAAAGGTTACTATTAAAAATAAAAAATTATACACTTATTACTTGTAAAAATTATAAAACAATTAATTATTATGGGGGACAAAAATATCCCAATATAAATATGTAGGTTTCAACAATAAATTGATAATATTATGAGAATGTTTGACCGACTCTGTAGTCAAATGGTGTACCTAGCATTGTGTTAAGCGCGATAAATCCTGGTTTCGAATCCCGGGAAAACGATAGATTGTTTTGGGCAAGGCACAGAACTCTAATAAAACCGATCACTGAAACATCCACATAATGAATAACCCGGTAACACAGAAATGTGTTTGCCCCATACCCCACGTGGGATTTCACTTAATAAATAACCGGATTATAAAGTTAAGTAATCGTTCAGTTCCAATTTCGGTAGTCAAATTTCCAAAATCACGTTTGTAGTAATCGTTCCAAAACCTCAGTTGTTTAAACTCTGTAACCCTTTATAATTATTAAGTTTAATGGTTGTTACGTTTTGATTAAATTGAGTGTCAAATTAAGATCACTTACAGCAATTAAACATATTTACATGTGCTTGTGATCTTAATTACAATGACGCAGTTTATTCATTCAATGAATCAATTTAACTCCAGAGATAGAGTTACAGAATTTTTGGCTTATAGTTTCCTATTGGTCATGGCAATTTATCAGTATGAAGTTCCATGTAATTGTGGCCTAGTGCCCTCATTCAGCTCAATCGATGATGTCCTTTCGCGGTGGCCATTTTCATAAGCGATTGTTTTATTTTATATGGTGGCTGCTTTTTGTGTGTGTAATTATGAAGTTAATTTTATTGTTAATAAAAAATATTTAACTGCTTGAAGAGAATGCATTGAGCACTTAAAACTTCATTTCGGCTTTCTGCTTGTATCACTTTTAATTCGCTCTTCTTTACAATAACAAATCAGCTTTCTTTCGTGTGTAATTTACTTTTTCTATGTTTAAACACTGCCTGTAGTTTACGCGAGTAGTACACATTTAAATAAAACACTTTAACAGTTTAAAACGCGATTTATATTCTTTAAACTTATTTGGAGATTATTTTAACTACGGCCCTGCCCTGGGGCATAGATCAATCACAAAAAATGTGATTGATCTATGCCCCAGGGATGTCAAACATTTTTATATTCTCTTTAGTATGTTAAATCTGTATTATATCTTCGTCATCCGTGGTTATGAAAGTTAACAAATTAACGCAACCTTTTTACGCTACATCGTATCTATATCATCATACTTTCATTAAGCTTTTTATCAGACCCCGAGGTGTTTTATGCCTGCCAGGTGTTGCAAACAATTATACCATTTATAGTGTTGTAAGCCACCCACATGCAAGCGGATGAGACTGTCCCAGTATTTTCTAACATAATAGAAGCGTTTCACATAACAAAAAGCCTCTGGCACAAACTCGACTCGTCGGAACATAAATACTATTCGTCTGTTAGAATTAGAAACTGCTTTTAATCAACCTCATTTTTATTTGTTGTTAAAAAGTTTCTGTAGTAATGTTTTCTGTATTTGCAAACTTAACGGAATTAAAAATATACTAAAAATATAGTTTGTTTGTTTAAACGCGCTAATCTCAGAAAGTGCTAGTTTGAATTGTAAAATTCTTGTATTGGATAGAACATTTATCGGAGAAGGCTTTAGGCTAAAACATCACGCTGCGACCAATAAACAAAAGGAGAAACAGTGTAAATGTGTTTTTTTTTAATTTGAGGACTTTCATTGCGTCCGCCGAAAACAGTAAAAATACAAAAAATATGTGAAAGAATTATTTTTAAATACTGTCTAAAGTTTACGCGAGTAGTACACATTTAAATAAAACACTTTAACGGTTTAAAACGCGATATATTAGTTAAATCATTTTCAATAAGTTTAACTAATATATCGCGTTTTAAACCGTTAAAGTGTTTTATTTAGAATGATTTTTATTTACATGATTTGAAAAAATGTTTCGACAGTATATATCATCTAAGATTGACTCGCACACTTTTTATGGTTGTCAAGTTTGGTCAAAACTGATTTAGAATTACCAATTTGTAGAGTTGTGTCAACATAACAATGTTCAAAACCGCGGAGGTGGTTTTCGAAGTTAATATGATGCCCAAAATGACTATTACACGCGGACGAATTTACTGGTACAGCTAGGTTTGACTACAGGTCATATTTGCTTTTGCAAATTTTTAAAAGAACAGTGCAACGGATTCCAGTAATTGAGAACAATTACTGGAATCCGTTGTACTGACAGGTCCTTACAGTAAATTGCAGAATCATTCTGTAACATTCATATTTTATTAACTTTATTGTATAGAATATGTTAATAGACTTTAATGGTCTACTGAGTACCTTCGTGTGGTAATTCTTATGACTTGTATTACAGTCGTCACGAGACTGTATAATAGAGTGTATTATTTTCAATACATGATTTGCATATCGTTGATGCTCTAGACTCTAGAGACATGTTTGTATGTTTTGTGCCGTCATGCGATCAGGAGACTGCTGAGACGAATTTCCGTTCGATTCCCGGTTGAATTTAAAACTTTATAGTATTCAAGAACCTTACATTTCTAGAAAATCATCTTTTCTATCCTACCTCTATTATCCTGTACTTGAAAGAAGTGAATAAAATAATTGTTCTTTATCATCATCCTAATGTGATCCCAGTCCCAGTTGTGGGAACGTTTTAAGAGTATAATAATTAAAAATATATTATGTTATAAACGAATTACAAGAAACAAGCTATTCGAAAATGACTGGTACCTTGAGGCGGTAAATAATTTATGCTCGCGTTTATTATCTTCAAATTATTCGGAACTAGTTTGGCAGGGCAATGGCCTGGATAAAGATTAGACGAAGCGCCTGCCAATGCAGTGAACATTAATAACATATTCATAAATTACTGTAATAGCTATAGTTTAATAATCTATAACTTTCCTTGAATTTAAAAGACATCAAGATATTAGTTTTGACGAGCTTGTTGATTTGTAGCATTGTATGGCTCGTAATCAACGGGTCGTGGGTTCAACCTCGATAGGTGTAAACCGTGCAGTTTAATCGCGTTTCTTTTTCTGAGTATTCCCGTATATCCTAAGCCATAAAAGATCAACAGAGCAGGCAGGCATGACATTTTTCATGACACAATTATATGTTGGTGTCGGTTGAACTATTTATTAAGGAAGGCTTAAAACAGGCTGCAGGGGTAAACAACGGGGTAATCATTAATCTTTCAGGGTTTCATCATAAGTTTACGTTCTCTTTTTCAGGTGCGCGTACGCGAGTTCACCATCGCGATGCAGCGTTGCCCTTACATCCACGAGATGAAGGAGCGTTTGCTCGGCGCGCCAGCTGACAGCATAGAACGAGAGAGAGAAGGGCCGCGTGACCAGACGGATCACGCACCACCCCTACAAGACACCCAGGTCGGCACCATCGTCAAAGTAAGATCATCTTCATCGTCGTTCATCTTTTTACCAAGGATAGAGAATTGAAAAAAAATTACGACACTGGCTGAGCTTGAACCGGCATCAACAGCGTTCCATGCTGTTGCCCTAACCGAGACCTAGCTAGACGATGTATCGATTGTGACAGTGACAGTTATAGCAGTGAAAAGCACATATTTTTTTATTCATTGACCATTCATAAATTTGCGTTGTAGTTTTAGATTGCACTTCTAGAAGTAGGTAGTAGTAGTAGTAGTAGTAGTTATTACTAAATTATGCAAATTAGTATTACTCATCACGCGGGTAATTTTAAAAAAAATCTGACGAACTATACCTAAATAACCGACGCAATAACTTCGTGCCAATAAAAGAACAAGTTTCACCTTCACTCAGGCGATGATCCAAAACAGGTGGTACAATTTATTGGATACGAAATACGATTTTATTTGTAAAACATATAACTCAAGTAAAACCACACTTCCAATCTTTACATAAGTTTTGTTGCGGTAGATAATTTCATTAAATGTTTTACCACAGTAAATATATTTTTTAATAAACATAGACATCTTGGGTTTTTTAAGTGTTAGCGGTTGTAATTAAAAAATGGTTCTCGACGTTTTGGATCACGAATCATGACATCATAGGATAGGTTGCTTCTATCTTCGCTGAGTCGAGAAACGGGTAACATTTGAGAGCTAAACGTTGACAACCATTCCCAATTAGGACGGCTAGACAGTGCGAAAACTATACAGCTTTGCAATAATTATCGTGAAAGCCTTAAAGAATTTATGAACTTAGATAATATGTGACATGGTGACGGTTGAGTTTTTATATTCTTCGTAAAAACGTTTAATAGCTCAGCATTGAATCCATGATATAGTGTTAATTGGCAGAATAAAATGGTGTTTCTTTTTAGCTGAATTCCGACGGGTACGGGTCGCATACGTCGCCGGCACGAGCCCCACTCGTCACAGACGAGTGTGAGGCGCCGGCGGACGAAACAGATGCGTTGACACCTACAGAGGCGATTCTCCGGTATAGAACCTGCTGCCAACCTGAAACAAGACCAAAAAATGCAAAGTAAGTAGTCCATATCTACCAAAACAGGTTTTTTTATCACAACTTATATTAGGATATTTAAGCATCACCTTCTGTTAAGTCTAAGGGGGGAAAGATGTTGCACCTCTCTGGAAATTTCGGCATTACGCTGATATTGATCGTAAGTACGAGGTTTATCAGCTCAAAATAAATAGAGGCTTTATCTAAGTACCCAACGAAGTTCATTCAAACCGACCATTGACAAAAGGTCTTAAAATGCCAAGCACCCTTCTAGATATTCCCCTCTCGGCACTGTAGTGCCCTTATTTAAACTTGACACACAAAGGTTTGTCAGGCTGTCATAAATTGACCTATTAATCCATAGGGGACAAATTATCATAGCCATGACACAACAAAAAGTCTTTATTGACAATTTAAATGTAAATAAAGGGCAGGAAGTTACAATCAAAGCGTTTCGACCGGTCGATGGTTGACAATTAAATTGTTCGAATGTTGTCAAGATTGGAGCTTGGGTATTGGGCCCATGATCAATCATAAATTCATTTAAGGTTACAAATTACAAGTGATATATAAATTGCAGTTTAAAATCTGGATGAAAAATATTAGCGGAGAATAGATTGGATCTCCCTCTACGTTCAGCGTGTTGCTAATCAGTTTTTTTTTATTCCAAAACATGTTATAAGACAATTAACAAGAAATGATGTAAGGCGTGAACAAAAACGGACGCTAATTTGCGAATATTTCGCGGATTATAAAATTAAGGATCTTAAGATAAGCATAAAAATACATAACATTAATCATTGCATTAAACTTACATCTTAACTTATATATTATTGTTAAAATAAGCTAATATACGAATAGATTGTCCGACAAATTAACCATAATAAATTAAACACTCTCAATACAAAAATATATATTTTTGAACGTTGCCCGACAAGTGATGTTAAATACTTAGCAAATAAAGATTTATTGCTTGTCTATTGAAGCGACGTAGGTAATTACTTAACAACCGTAATACCTACCTCTACTATTGTATTCAAGCAAGCAGATAATCTCATCATTGATGAAAATACAATTGATTCTTAATGTGTGATTTTACACGATCGAGTCAAACAATGGTAATTTGATTTTTTTCTTTATAATTACGATTATTTATGATAGAAGTGTTAAATAAGCTTGGGTTTATTTGATATAAGGTAAAATAAACTAACCATATAACGTCTTAACAAGATGCGGTGTCTAACTATTTTTGCTGAACTAGTTTGTAGCTTTTAAATAAAACACTTTAACGGTTTAAAACGCGATATATTAGTTCTATAACTAATATATCGCGTTTTAAACCGTTAAAGTGTTTTATTTAAATGTGTACTACTCGCGTAAACTAGAGACAGTATCTAGTTTGTAGCTATAAAGAAATCCACAATTTAAACCGATACACGATTAAACTTCACGGATTCCTAATTTGTAAACAATGGTTCGTGACCCGGACGAAATTTAGATATACCAACCAACTCATTTACTATCCAGGTTTTCCAGACGAAGTCCAACATTTTTCATAACATCATCAATTGATGTGAAATATGTTGGGCCCGGTGTGGATCGAACCATGACCCGTTGCTTATCAGACACACATTGTTACTATTAGACTAACGAGTCCAATACTGTTTATAATTATATATATACCATTATATATATCGTAATAATATACTTCGTGTACTTGAAACTATCTCTTTCGTCTTTGTCAATGCAAAAATTCTGTTCTGTACTTTACGTGTATATGAATGAGATAAGTTAACAACTAAAAAACAAGTAGATACATAGTAGTTTGTACGATAAACCTAACATCTAAATGTATTTATATTAATATATAGTTTGATTATAAAAAATACCAGCATTTATATGTTAGTAAGGACGAATATTAAACTTGGTGCATATATTTAAACAAAACAAATTAAGAAATCCAATCACACGTCTAGTCTAATAAGACAAAAGATGTCGTAAGCCTCCTATTTAGAACGCTTACGTCGGTTTTAGCGTGCAAGGTGTCGATGTCTTTGTACTGTTAATTAAACTTATTAGAATTCAGCGAATATATTTCATTATCTTTGACATAAATTAAAAAGAAACAACTGCCTGTAACACTGGCTGAATGTTAAAACATGGTCCTTTTTAACATCTACTTTATTTTGTCTAATGTTAAATTTATCATAGAGAAATAACTTTATTGCTTTTACACGTGATGTCATAAAATAAATAAAATTTTTGAAAACACGGACGGAACTTGAACCGGCATCCAGAGCGATTTCTGCTGCTGCTTTAACCAATTGGACAACCGATCACGAATTTTTAATTTATAGTCGGGCTCGTTGGTGTAATGGAGCCTTGTTTGGATTATAATTAATGGGTCGTGGGGTCGGTCCCTACTGGGTTCAACATTTATCTAGTCAGTTTTTAATTTTTTTGAAATCTTATTTCACCTTCCATCAAGGCAACGCTATGTTCGTCTGTCCCTATCTATCAAGAAAAATATCTTCTTGATATTAGTCTATTCTAATTAAAACAGTAACCTCCCACTAGGCCTCTGCTTGTTACTGCGGTCATAAGTTAAACCTATTTATTTACTAGGCCAGATGAGGTTATTAGGACACTAGCTGTAACCGAAACTTCGCCCGCGTGGATTATGTTGATACAGATGTAACAAATTTAAAAATCGAACATAAATTAAAAAAAAAACCCCCCCAAACCCCCCCCCCCCCCCCCCCCCCCCCCCCCCCCAAAAAAATTTTTTTAATTTTTTTTTTATTTTAAAAAAAAAAAAGCCCCCCCCGGGCCAAAAAAAAGAAAAAAAAAAAATTTTTTCCAGACCAAACAAATTTAATTACCTTAAAAACGGTTCTTGCGTAATATCTTGAAAGATGTACGTATACTGTCGCGCACTTTTAGATCGTAAAGAGCGATCACGGCGCACACAACGAAAGCTTTAAAGATGGATAATTTTCTACGCTTCTTCTTTTTGGTTTCTATTGATGACGTGATCTATGCTATGTATTTTTCAATACGATCCAGTAGTTCCTGAGATTAGCGCATTTAAACAAACAACAAACTCAGCTTTATAATATTAGTACTGATAGTGTCAGCTCAATGTCAGTTAGAGCATCAGCGCGGAACACTGGAATGCTGATTCAAGTCCCGCTCGTGTCGTCAATTTTTTTATCTAAATTAGCTTTTACTTTATATAATACCATTATATGTTATATTAAAAAAAGTTTCATTCTTATTTCCTTGATATTTATTATTCCACCATGGAATTCCGCAGTTCATCTTAACAGTCGTTGCGTCTTAGAATATCGGATTGCATTGTGTGTGTGCTGAGATAGTGCGCCAATTTGAAACGGATTCAATGCCGCTATTATGCCGTGTTTGTATTGGAGTTCGCCGACCCGTCCCACAGTTCCTATTCAATCAGGAGCGGGCATGCGCATCGCCTTTCATCCTTTGAGACCATTAAATGCCTTTTTTCTTACCCGTCGTCCTATATGACACGTGCGTGTGCATATTATGAATTAGGGCTGCAACGTAGACATGGAGTAGTACTTCAGTAATGGAGGCGTTTTGTTAGGAGTATTCAGCTGAGGCCGGGTCAGTGGGTCGCTCGCGCAGCCTCCCAAAGTTTACCGGGAGAGACGCGCCTCTATCGACCGCTTGTCGCCAAACTAGGGCTGTCAAAAGCGTTGTTTACGATTATCTTTAAGTTTGATTGTAAATGAAAGAAAATATTAGGTACTCATTATTCGATAAGTAAGCCTCTCAATTACAAAGAATTTTAATTTCCCTTAGTATGATAAGCCTATAATGTATGATCAGAGCTTGTCTTTCAGTTCCATCTAACGCGCTTTCTGTCCCCTCAGTAAGGTCCCCAAGTAATAATTTTCGACCCTCTGTATTAGGAGTGCAATTTAATAAGAGGGGTGCGACCGTATCTGCCGCCCCTACGGGTCTCTTATGCGCGCAGCATCCGTTACTGCGCAACTCTCGGCACACTCAAACCGCGAGCAGCCAAAGCCGCACCTTCTCGCATCCGGAGCCGTTTGATCTGAAAAGAGTTCTCGCGAATCCCGCCCTCACCTTGTCCCTAATCCTAAACGCTTGAGATGCCCGTAATCTTCTGAAGTGCTCTCACGACGTCGCGATGGGTAAGGATAAGCATCAGCCGACGGAGGCTGAAGTGAAAGTGGCGACGGTGGAACTCGAGGCGGTGGATAATATGGCAACGCTGCCGGTAGGCCAGCATCGTCAGCAGGACAGCGATATCGCGATCGCCGAGAAGCATAATAACGCGAACAAGGAAATGGAGCTGAAGTGCGTTCAACCGAAGCCATCGAAAAAGTATGTGCTACATAAAAAAAAAATCCTAATACCGAATCTATAAATATAATTAATTTACCAATTAATTACATTGTTGCAATAGTAGTGGTAAGTGAAAATTTGCGCATAGAAGCAACTATTTTTTAATAACAAAAAAAAATCGTTAAAACTCTCAGTATCTCATAAGTAAGTGAATTTTTATAAATATTCATACATCAGAACGCCCATCTTGGCATTGAATTGCGTAGTATGGATGTTGCGTGAAAACCTTTGTCTTAAGACTCAAGAGGGTCGCGTTTGTGATATAGGGGTCACACCTTTGATGTTAACATGAATTTATTAGATGCTATTTATTAATTAAGCTCTTTGTTTAAAATGGTTCAAATGTAATTGAACAGCGCTTCTATAAGCGGAGCTATAATCTATTTGTAGGTAGTTTCATTTATAAAATCAATATTTCGAAAATACATTTACAAACCAACTCTTAACACTTTTATTATATTTCGTTGGAAAAATAAAAAGCATTCAAAAGTTTCCTGCGGTCGAGTGGTCCTTTGATTGTGTGGAAGAATAACAATGGTTGTGAATTTTATGGGTCGCGCTTGCATTTTAAAAGTAGGTCGGGGCTATTTAAATAAAAATATAAGTATTGGCCTGCTCTATTTAACATTTAGAAATTGAAATGCAACATTTTGCTTTTACTGAACCTGCGAAAGTAAATCTGCGGCACGCCCAAGCGGAAAATACATTTTTTATTTCGACATTTCAGTCCTCTATAAGTCTAGCACTCTTTACTGGGCTTCAAACGAAATGGTGAAATAAAACTGAGTTAACTAGTTCTGTATGACACTTTTCTTCAAACACTTTCAAGAGAACTACAATATATAAGTCCTGTAAGTCCAAACTAAAGAAGTCTTTTCTTTTCCAGAACGTCATTGTTCATCATCTCAAGTTTTATCTACGCGAAACTTTTGGTGGTGGTGTGCATCGCTTATGTCATTAGTGATGTCATAACCCACAATCTGCCGCTCTACTACTATGAGGGGTTCTTCACATATCTCTATGGAATGAGCATCTTGTTCCTACTGTATGTTTTCTGCTTCTTACTCCAAGGTATGAAATAAACAACTTAGGTTTAATGTTAAACATTATGATTGTTCTCTCGTTAGATTCCAGTTGATTAAAACCGACTATTGATATCGAAACTTCTATTGAAAATAAAATATATTTTGTGTGATAACAGAAAGCTCATGTTGCAACGGCAGTCCCCCTAAACCGAAACCACCGCCAAAAGAGAAAAAGCCCAAGAAGGAAAAAGAAAAGAAAACCAAAGATAAAGAAAGCAAAGACGGCAAAGATGGAAAGAAGGACAAGAAGGATGGAAAAGCGAAAGACAAAGACAAGGAAAAAGATAAATCAGCCAAAGAGAGCAAAAAACAGAGCTTTCAGGTAAGAGTAGCTTCTATCACCTTTTCTTACACAGCACATCATCAGCACATCCAATTTATCTATACACTGTCCATGCCCCATTATTAGTTAACAATTATTAATTTTGAGTATTGTGATTTTGTAAATAATCATTGTTTTCGCACTTCCGCAATTTTTACTCACACGATGATAAGTTTTATTAGAGCTTCGTCAGGACGTGGCCGCATGAACCCTTTTTTGTTTACGCTGGCTATTCTTTTGTTTTTTCCATATCATTTGGGCAGGAGGTGTATCCCCGTAAGATGCGCGATAAAGTTCGACAACAAGAGTTACAAATGCAAATGGCGCTATTGTATGCCAGTGAACAGGTGAGGTCTGGTTATAGAACCCTGCTTGTACTGTCGTGTATCATTTGGTTTGCTTTGGATGTGCTGTGTAGATCTGCATTTTGAAAGGCTAATCATGTTCTGCTACTTTTCAGTCTGCTTTCAAATTTTCAAACACCTGAAAAACGGCGTTAAACATCTGCCTTAATGATGGTAATAAGATAACCTCAACGTATGTAGCTACAGATATACTTGCACTCCTACTAAACAATGTTATTATGGGAAGTTACCGTTATATAGGACTCCATATAAAAGTTATTTACAATAATTTTATTTGAGTTGAAAATTATCTTATTTAGTTGGAAATTATTTTTCTGGCAGTGTTAAAATAAATGTTCCCGTCTTATTTCAGATATTATCCATCGACTTGATTGTATGTTTATTGTGATTATACCTTATTTTAATAAAGTATAACGGTATCTTCATCGAATGATCATCTCCTATTGATTATTTAAAACCTTGAGCAAAAAAAAAAATCCTAGTAGACTGGAGCTTAAATTGCTTTAAAAACCTTATCGAAATTTTCACATAGCAACAAGACGTTGTGGAGTTGGAGGCTGGGCCAGTTGCAAGACCAGTACGCCGGCGCAAGACTTCACAGAATGACCATAGTCATGGCAGTTTCTTCTTAAGAATTGGTGCTATCGGTAAGAATGATAGACGATAGATACACATCATTACCACTTGCGTTGCATAAAACGTTGCATTATACATATTTATTGACGTATCAACGTAGTAATGTTAAACGCGCAAAAACAGCGTGTAACAATTATAGTGATTATGTTCTTATAAGGAATATTAATAGTAATCCTCTATATTAATGTAATTTGCATTTCTGTTATAGCGTTTGGCCTCGGAACTATGATTTACAATGGATTAGAATTCGGAACTTTCTTCGAGCTACCGATGGATTCTCCGTGCTATCTTATCTTGAAAGGAGTTAACCCCGTTCTGCAAATGGTTTTCACTTTCATGCAGATGTATTTTATATTTATGAATTCGCGAGTAAGTCTTTGTTCTTTATAAACAAAATAATTTACGTTTATTTTTGTATGTTAAGCATAATGATCTGATTTCAGTTGAATATCCACCGATTCAAAGTGATCGCTCGCTTTGGATTAATGCACGTTGTTGCTACAAACATCTGCGTCTGGATACGTACCTTGGTACTTGAGTCTCTCAAGGAAATAACTGACTACCACGTGAAGAATCCTCAAGGGATTTCCGGAGAGGGCGTTCTTGGAAGTAATTTAATTTTCATTTGTGAATGTTATACGGAGCACTTTTCATAGATTAATAATAAAACTTACAGTTAAAACTGTGTTGAACTTTGCAGAAGTCATTCGGAAGCATACCTTGAGACATTCTGGCCGAGTGCTAGGTGCTGTAACGACGGCTGCGACTACAGTAGTTTCCACTGCCACTGCAGCTGCGAAATCTGGTGGAGAACAATTAATAGCGGCTGTAACGTCTACTGCTTCAACTCCAACAACACAGACCACAAGTTAGTTCACAACTCTACCAGCAACTGATGTAACCATAATCATACTAACATCTTCCATGCATGTATTAAACGCAACCTAACAATTTTCAGCAACTCATTCTTCATATTACTTTGGTGGTGGTTTCACTCCTAAATCGAAATTCATCGAAACGCTAAAGAGTACTATAGGGTATGAGACTAACCAGAACCATGGGGTCCGAGGGTCATGGCCGAACGATAACCCGTTCACTACCACGTACACAGCGCTAACGCCCGAGACGAAACCGACCCAAACGCAGACAGCCATGTTGGAAGTATTCCAATGGTTGTACACCTCGACTGTGAAACCGGTAATTAGTACGGTTTCCAATATGGTACCCACGACTCAAGAAAGTTTCGGATACGATAAAGACATTTGGGGCAATAGTGTTGAAACTTATCGTGTCGATGAACCGCCTCATTCTGCAGGTTTGTCGATGTGCCTTGGGGATTACGTTTGGTTCTGCGCAGTAGCACTTATTTTCGGTTCCGGCTATTTTTCACGGTTATCATTAGTAGCACGTCTTGTTGTAGACTTTTATGTTGGTACTTTAAGGTTATGTTTCGTTTCGCATGTTTAGGAAAATTATTTCCCTCTGTGAATTGTGGCATGAAAGTGTCGCTATAACGTCGGATACTATACATTAGAAAATAATTTTCCTTTAACGCTAAGATCAGTTTTGTTTAATTTCGTGCATTTTTTCAAGATTAACGATATTTTTTATTTTCAGTGAACAATGCGTCGGAAATATTTGAATCTTTCGATACTTTAAACCCTGCTGCTTTGATAGCTAACATCGACAACACAACGGTGTGCGGAAGGATCCCAATAATGGGAACAATTGTTACTGATTCCGCGCCATATCTTTATCCCTTCATCATAGAATATTCACTGATTGGTGCCGCTGTTATCTACGTCATGTGGAAGCACATAGGCCGCTATCCAGGGTAAGTTAAATTCATTAGTATTCACCATAACCTCATTAATTGTGCTTCACAAAATTATTCAACATATCTGAATTTGTGACTAATGCAACCAAACCTGTATTTAACATCCTGTAGATAAAATTCACTAATAACAATTCAGTAGAATTTAACCATGTGATAGTTCCATTGACAAAGTAATTAACTTTCTTATCTGAACATAAAATGTGTGCCTTTTGTTCGTACCTTTTACGATAATATGTAGATTGTATAGCATGTACTAACTCAACTAAATAATATCACCCATTTTAAACTATAATATGAGAGAGTTTAAAACTTGGTAGTGAAGTCATTCTTTACACTAAAAGTCATTAAAGTACATCTAGTATTATTCCATACTCGTTTGGTTGCAGCGTCGCCAATGACGAAGATCTGGAAAGACGTCTGGAAGCTGTTCTATCCCGCAGGGCGGCGGCTTTGGCGGCGGCGCAGCGTGGCAACCGTGTGGACTGCGCAGGCGCATCTAAAGGCCTCTTCTGCGGACTACTTCTGTTGGTGGCATCACTCATCTGCTTGATCCTGTTCTTCGTGCTGATCAGACACCAGGAGTTGAAGCGCTTGTCGATTTACTTGGCCGATGTCTCCCATTGTGCGCTTATGGTGCTGTCGATTCTGGCCATTTTGATAGGATTTATACGGTAACTTTAATTGAGTTTATGTTTGGGCAAAATGTACAGTACTAATTTCATAGTAAATAACTCAAGAGATTTGTTAAATTATTAGACTTTATTATTAAAACGTGCAATATATTTTAAAATATATAAGTTTCAGTACAGTATTTTTAGCATTACGTTTGTATCTATTTGTTTTTTATTATTATTTAACATAGTTTCAGTTGTTACTTAATCTTGTTATGTTTGGTTCTCATTTTTTATTTTTGTTTTCTCCCCATTTCCTCCCATCCTTATCCACCTACCCATACTCACAACCCAATCTGTAACGGCTCCAATTTTAACTTCACATCTTCATTTCAATCATCACTTTTGTGATTAACATATTTTTTTAAAATTGTTACCATGTTTGGTTTGTTCCCTTATTTGATTAGTGGTAGAAAAATGAGATGGAGCTCAGATCCTCCTTCCTGTACCGAACCTATTCGCAGGGTGCAATCGTTGAAATTCCGTTCTGAAGAGCAATCAGACTTAAATGATATCCTGCTACGTGTATCTGCTTTTGGACTCTTTATCTACGCCGTGTTCAGCATCATCGCTGGTGGAATGGGCGCCTTCACTCATGAACCGAATCTCCTCGTTATGATCACTGGATGCTTGAGTGTGCTTCAGGTGTGTATATGTCTAAATAATAAGAAAAATAAAATAAAAAATAAATTGATTTTAATTTACGAGTATATCCATCTTTCTTGTTAACTCAAATGTAATTTTTATCAGTAGAAGTGTCTTATTCATCATTGTGTTTTACCTTTGTAGTAATGTTAAAGTCATCTTTGTAAAAGTTATCATCAGAAAGTTGTACGTCGTCATTTTTGGAATTATTCTATACATATAGATGCATCTTTATCAAACTTTGTCATTGTTATAACATTATCATTTACGTTCTCACCACATTACTAATAGGGTATTCATATTTTTTCAGGTGATACTCCAACTACTGTTCATTGCGGACGTGTCCCGGCGTCGTGTTCATTTGCCAGAACAGGAGCGTAGCAAGCCAGCGCGCCAGGCTGTCACTTTCCTCCTGATCTGTAACGTTACTATGTGGCTCATTTACACGGTTGAAGCGCAGAAGGTGCTTGCTAACCCGGTAAGTTGTTAAACTGCTCATAATTAGATATAATAAGTTTAAAACATTTATTTTGAGCTATGTATTAATTAGCTCATAATTATACATATATTTTTAATAAGCTGCTATACTCACTACATATACAATTACGAGGTCATTCTAATGGTTATAATCCACAATAAGAAGCCCTATAGAAACTAGGACAATAATCTACGTTAAAAATCTAATTATTAATATTGTTCTTCAAAGTTTTTCAAATATACTCTGTCTCGCACAACACGTTGGATCACTTAAATAGAGAAATAACATTTCTTTTCTGTTGTCAGGTTCAATTGGACTTCTACGGATTCGTGGCTTGGTCTCTGGTGCAGCGCTTCACGCTTCCGCTTTGCATATTCCATCGTTTCCACTCAGCTGTAACTCTTGCTGAGATATGGAAGACCAGCTACAAGGCTCGTCTCGAATGAATCTACTAAAAATCCACGTAAAATGGATATAGTTTCTCTTTTACATTGGCGAGAAGATACCGACAGGACTCACGGGTCTAGAGATTCTCGATTCATAGATTATAGACTATAGAATAGATCTGATCGCCAATGTGAAAGCAATAACGCCCGTAAGAATAGGGTTTTTGACAGATTTCGTCCTAATCCGGGACAGCAATATTGTAGCTAGTATATTTCGAGTTTCAATCTATCTAGTATTCGGATATTTGTAGTGCAGGTAGAACGTCAGATTTAGAAGTATGAATAGAATGGTAATCCCGGATTCAACTCGATAACTCCAATGATCTGTGACATTTTAACGTTACTAGAAGACATTTGACATACTAATAATGAGTGCTGATTTTTACGAAGCGCAAACAACAAAAACATGTTTGGATAAAACAAAGGAGATCGTATTGATAGAAACACTTTATCAAAAGGATAAAATAAACCCATCTGCCATAAGAGAATGCTAAGAGAAAATATTATGGACGTGACTTTTCTATTTTTCTATTATTTCTCAAAATAGGCCAATCATCACATTCCGACTACAGTTTTCATTGATTTCAAGACTGATCAAGTTCTAAAACAAATACGTATATTGCTCACTTTTGTACGATAAAATCATCGTCATTAAAAGTCCAGTTGTGAATGGTTCCATCCCCTATGTACTCCATCATAAAAAAATTAGAAAATTATTTTTAACCTGGTTTGGAATGTTCGACCAATCCTAAGAACGATCCATTCTCAGAACATACTTTGCATACTCACGTTACGTGGATTGAATGTACCAACAATGGCGGCCTAGATTTTAAATGCTGTCAATAGAAAGACCGTTACTTTTGGTCTAAGTACTACAAGGAGTTTCACAGACAGGCCCGTACCCGAATGCTAGTCGACTATAAAGTTGTTATACTATATTATACTTGTATACCACGGTTTGTCATACCATGTTATGACAATCTGCAGGGCCGTCATTGCTTTCAACGAATACGACATTCTCAATTTAAATATTAAAGTAGTTTAAGAATAAAATATTATTAAAATAGTATATTATTATTTAACGTTTCAAAATTTATTAGCCAACGTATTTGGAATAAGCTCGTAGATATTATATGAATGTTACGTACGAATACCTAGTTAAGTAGATGACGTAAGTACTTAATTATAGCGGAACACCAAAACGAGGATTGTAGTATTGATATATGAACGTCATGGCCACGGAACACTACTCGCGCGATGCGAACGGCGACGCGTCTAGCGAATGAAGACAATATACCGATCAACTCGCACACAGAGCGAAGCGTGCAATCGCGTGAACGATCGCTTCGCTCTTCGCGTCGCAATTCGCACCGCCCGGTTTCGTGGCCAGGCGAAACAGCGTAAACTGCTTCACCAAGTTGAATTTGTTAACAATGTTTATTGCAAGGGGCCATAAATTTTCTTTAATACATCGCTCACCTTTTATAAGCACTATATTTAGCGTGTTGAAATTGTATAAATGAATCTAGTGTTTATTGCCGAATAAAATTTACTAATCATTTTAAAATGTTGAAAATCGCGTGACAAACTAACGGACATAGCATTAGTTGAGGCAAAATTATTGTGTAAAAAATTCCGTTGCTAAAAACTTCTCTATAAATATTTTCGTAACGATCTTTATGTGCAATCTATTTTTATAAGCCGTATAATTTACATAGGTGTGTACCTATTATATATTAATGTAATGGGTTTATTGTATTTCTTAAACGCGTCAAGCGCTATATCATTACGTTACGTATGTATTGTGTAAAAATAGATTATAAATATTATTTAAATAATATCTAATATTTATTGTTTTTTAATTTAAGGATCTGATTGATATAGTTTCGGAGAGTGGTGTGTGCTCACTTTTTGAGATTTGCGTGAATGTAGTTATTTTCGAGTGCATTAATATTATAATAAAATTTTAGGAAAATGAAAAATTGGCGAAACAAATTCTACAGCCCGAACGCATTTATTTCCGTGGTGGCTACGCAATGATTTGATTCAGACAAAAACGAGTGTGTTTGGCTTGGTTTATCACTGCCGATATTTTTAAAAACACTTAATAGTAAGCCCTTTTATAACTCTATACGATTTCTAACTTATTCAATTTTTGTAGATGATATTTACTGTGTACCTAACGTTTGGAAAATGTACCGACATTTGTATCTTTAGGTTATCGAATTATGTGGTTTCTCGATGTTAAATAAATAATAATTAGATACTTACCAAAAAAATAAATGTTTGGAATCTCTACTTTAAAATATTATAAAATATAAATGTCTATTTGAGTAAATTAAATAATAATAACTTAATAATCGATTGTGCGTATTATTTTAATTCCCTTTTTCTTTTTCTATTTTTATTAGTAAGAGGTAAAGTTATAATAAATTGTGTAAGGCTTTCACGGCCATCGTTCAGTATATCATTATATTACGGGCTGTTCGGCCGACTTCATGGCGAAACATCGAGAACCTCTTCTCGTTCACGTCGGCCGAACAGACCGAAAGACAATGATGAAAGTTATATTTAGAAAAAAATATTTGGTGCAAACTAAACTAACACCACGACGACGTATATAGAATTGGGAAATGTAAAGTGCAAAATGCTGTCTGTTTTTTCCGCGAGTAGTACACATTTAAATAAAAATACTTTAATGGTTTGAAACGTGATATATATTTTGAAATAAATGTAAAATAGACTAAAACCATAAAAGCGAAGTTTCTAAGTGTTTTTGTACCGATTGATTTATTTTATCATATATATTATATTATCTGTAGTAAAGACAAGGTAACATTTTTGCGCTTAAAAGAATAAACGTAATCCGTTCGTATCTTGTCGAAGGTTCATCGTTCGATATTCATCATAGTCATAATATTGTACTCCAATAATCGATTATAATAATATTATTATTGTAACCATTACTGATCGATGATATAACGAATCAATAAATTAAAATTGAATATTGACATAATGTCAATTGTCAAAATCAAAAATTCTCTCACTCAACAATAACAAAGTTTCACGTTGACATTTTTTACATCTGCGTGTTTAGCTCAATTTCATAAATCTAGCGTAGCTATATTTTGCAATTTAAAGTTTCTTTGTGTAATTCTTAATTGAATAACGTGTTAATGAAATGAAGTCATACATTAGTTTCATAAATAACTTCTTGCGCTAGCTTAGATGTAGGAAATGACATTTGTTTTCGTTTACATTTTTAGTGCTCATTTTTTGTTATAAACAGGAAAAAGTTTGGAACTAGGAAAACGTGCGGTTTGATTATGGTAGAGGAAAGCGGGTAGATCTCCTCTCTGTTAGCCAATATTGATAAAAATACGCAAACATGTTCGTTAAGTTTGCACTTATTTTTCTATTCTTACATTGTGCCAGTACTTATGAAGAGAGAAAGAATTATATTGATGATGATTACAAAATATATGAAAACTGGCCATTTAAATACAATATACCCCATTTAATACGTAAGTTCCCTTGATTTATAACACAATATAACATTATTCTTTCTTTTAAAGTTGCTCATAACTAACTGATTTCACAGATGCTTTAAAACGAGATGTTAATACAGAAGCTAAAGTAGAAATAGAAAAGAATGTCAACACTAAGGAATTGGAGAAGGAAGCTCCAAAACAATTAAAGGACTTGGGGCAGACAGTTGGGCATAGTGAAGGGGGTGTTGTGAACCAAGTACCAGTAGTTGATACTGTTCCTGATGTAAGCATAAAATCAGATATGAATACCTTGAATGAAAAACCCGTAGAAAAACTGGATACTACAAAAGAACTTGCAAATGCACCTAAAGGTATGAGCTTCAGTGATACAGATAAAACTATATTTATTGCTTTTCAGTATCTGAATTTAGTTCCTTATCTAATATAATCTTTATTTTTTTTTATATTGCTGTGAAGACATGTTTGAAGTATATTTTTTAGATTTAGAACATTTTTGGCACTATGCTAATCTTATGTATTCTGAGATAAGACTGCCTCTGTAGCCAAATGGTTAAACGTATTGCATTACGTTGAGCGCGAAAGGTCCTGGGTTTGAATCCCAGGAAAACAAAAAAAAAATTGTTTCGGTCGGGCAGGGCACAGAAGTCTGATCAACTACTTACCTGTTAAAAGAACAGATCAGTGAAACAGACACTGAAATGTGTTCCCCCATGTGCCCCATGCCCCACGAGGGGGAAACGGGCTTTCACACTTAATCTTATGTATTAGTAATTATTCTATGATATTATTTTATTACAAGAATGATAAAAATAATGACAGATATTGTAATAAATAATGTTAAAACATATTCCAGGTAACAATGACACAAAGGCCAATGCAACTGATATACAAGCCCAGCCAATTTCCAAAGTAGAAAATAAACCATTGACTCACAATGACACTAGTACAGAACCAATTGTAGATATAAATAGCCCCGGAGTTGTGAAAAGGGGTCTTATTGTGTTTGGTGGTCTCACCTTGCTAGCTGTAGCTTACTTCATATTTTACAGGTATTTATTATATCTACAATCACTGAAATGGCATTTATTGCTTGTAATAAAAAACACTTCCCTTCTTGTTATTTATTTTAAAAATCTTTTGTTACAACACACTATATTAGCCTTTTTACTATCAAGCAGTTGCTATATAACAATCCTTAATGAAATGTGTTTTTTTGACTAGATTATAAAAAAAATTGTGTGTGTGTCGAGATTATCTTACAAAATTGTCCTTTATTATCATTTGATATAACCACAATCATTTACCTCAAAGCCACAATTAAATATTATATACCATTATTAAGATACAATAATTCTAATCAATATTTCTAAATACTGTCTGTAGTTTATTTTTATATTATTCAATATTCTTCTGCACTAGAATATATTAGATTAATTATAAGGAAATTTCTTAAGAAATATATTTACGTTTGATGCAAGTTTCACAACATTTATTATCAACGGGTTATAATTTAATGATGTCATTAAAAACTTAAATATTTAATTTAATGAAAACTGGTCTTATAGGTCAAAAATGAACAAGCAACATTACGAAACTATATAAATAACTAATAAATTTTTGACCATTCCCATTTGAAGCCCTAAATATATTGTAAATTATAATGTCATATATAAAATATTAATGTGCTATCTTTTACGTTATAGAAATAAGCACAAAAAGTTTGACGCTGCTAACGCACATGGTACTGGCGATCAAAACCAATTTAGGTATGGAGTACTCCACTCTGACGATCGACGAGAGAATCTAGAACTGTCTCGAATACCATTAACCATGGAATCTGACGACGATGAAGATGAGGATCTGGAAATATTTGACTTAGAACAGAAGAGAAAATCGATGTCATACGTCAATCTTCAAGTCAATGATGAAGACATTGTACTGAGATCATCGAAGGATGAGTCCAAAAATAATTTGTTACTAGATATTGAAGATGGGTCTGCCGATCAGTTGATCAATTGGTCGGGCAGCGGAAGTAAATCTATATTATAATTGGACCTGTGATATGTACAAAAAGATTGACAGTTGATCTGCACAGCACCAGAGTTCTTAGATGATTCAAGGACTATGTGAAAGCCACATTTCACTAGAAATAGTATATAAAGTTTAAAACAGTCTTTTAAAGGTTCATATTTTGTAATAATTCTTATAAAACATCTCACGTGGTTAACTATTCAAGAGAATTGCAAATAATGAATGAAATGCGATTTGTTTTCTTTATAAAATATTGTATCACGATTAACATTATGAAGCGTTGATAATGCGGCTCTCACATAATGCGTAGAAAATAATTTCTAAAGAGTCAGTAAATAATAAGTAATAAAAAAGATATTTTTCTAGTTTACGCTGTTAAAAGTTGTATGCTTAACACAATTTTATATTTGTAAGGCATTTTCTACGCTTTCAAATGTTTAACATAGTTCCTTCTTCTTCAGAGGAATTCTTTGTAATGCAATGACTCTGAGAATTACCTTGTTTTCATTCGATTAATGCTGGAGTAAGGAATACTTCATTTATCTTATTTTTTAGTTAGAACATATGATACATATGCATTTACTTATTTATTTAAAACAAAGAATTGTATTTTGTTATTTTTGTAATACCAGTGTTTTAAGAGCAGAGTAAAATAATACTGGCTTAATAAGTAAAAGATATCACATAATTAATTATAGTGATATATTTTGTGTATTAGCTACCGTCATTGATAGACTAGAGGAACTTAAAATGTTATTATTGTATTACTATAAAGCTAAATGCGGTTGTACTCATGTACTTATAGGTACATAAAAATTACTTATCTTAAAAGGAAACCGGTCGCCGAATGTTAAATTTTTTGTACTATTTAATTTAAATTATATTTTATTTAAGTTTAGTCAAAGCTTATTTGATTTATATTAATTATCTTGCTTTTGATGTTGTGTTGCTTACTTTGTAAATTGTTTATGTAATCATTAAGTAACAGTTTAGACTTTGGACGAAAATTATTTTTGTTTTAAGAGATTCTGCATTTTGTAAGCATTCCCTTCGAGTGTTGATACTTTCATTTAACAATAACTTTGAAAGTATTCTGACCTATCTTGATCTTTTTGGTGGAAATGGTTGTCACAAGTGTGTAATGAGATGATGATATTTTAAATTATGTAATTTAAACTTCTATTTATTTATGTAAATATATAAATTTTTATTTATAGATATGGATAACACAGACTTCAATTTTAAAAGATTCCAACTCCTAAACTGTTTAATTTGTAAAGATTACCTCCTACAAAACATTTTTAGGTTATTACCGAAGTAAAAACACATGGTTATGTGAAATACAAATCTCTTGAATTACTTTTGTGGTATTTCTTACATACTCCTGTGATAACTCGAATAATGTTTAAGACATATTTCTGAGAGGTGGGCGATGATAAAAACGTGATCAAAACTATTTGTTCATTACGCAAATACTTACCGTACTTTATTTGCGACTTATTTTGGTAAATTAAATGTCACTTTTTAGAATTGCCCACAGATTATATTTATCAGCTTAATATGCTTTCTACTTGTCATAACTCTATATATGTGGGGTGTACTATTTCACGCATACTATATAGGTACTTATACCTACTTAAGCTTTGGACTGTGATAGTGGGAATCTACGTGGAGGGTGGTACAAAGTTTCTGAGATAGCTAGTCTCATTCTTTAACTTTCTAAGCCTACTTAACTGTTTAAACTGTAATCGTAAGATTGTTTCTAAATGATTAAAGATATGCGATATTTTATGTAAGTTTTATTACCATTAAAAACTGTGAACTACCTCCAGATTTCATGAAAGAAGGCATTCTTATAGGATATGGTCTGATTTAGTGTATTCCTATCCTATGTAGGTACATCTTTCTTGGGGTGCTACTTACAGAAGGCTGTATTGAAAAAAATCCACATTATGGAGGATTAAAAAGACAACTTAGGTACTACATCATTTACCCACAGCGTTAGGTTATCTAGATTACTTCAAGATCCGATGATCTGCCATAGTATATGTACGATGTATACGTTCAAATGTAGGTTCGAGTCCCGTCTGTGTATAAGGCTTTCGCGGTATGCAAAGCACCTTGTGTACTTGAGCAATTTGTGCTTGACATAATGCCATCTTGAGATAACATTATCCGGAGTTTTCCCAGAGTAAGGCAAGACCGTAAGTATCTTGTCAAGAAGATCTTTAATCTGCAGAATACGATTTATTGAACATTGATTTGATTACATTAAACCATAACTCGTGTACAACTATTGTTTAAAAACATAGGATACAGCGTAAGTGATATTATAACTTAGCGTTTTGATTGTATTTTTCTAATGTTTAGTGACTAATGTGTTGTGGTATCTTTTTTATCTCTTCAAATTAATGGAATCGTGGAGTACCTATCTACGTGTTCGTTGGACATACATTAATATTTCAAAAGTAGACATTGAAATTCTGTTTCAGTTCTGTGATATCGCTGGAAAATTCGC